ACATAAACCAGTAATATAGTTGTTTATTATCAAGTATTATGTACTATACATGAATGTGCTATACCTTTATACAACCGCCAGCACAGTAAGTTTGTTTATACCAGCATCACCACAAACGTGTGAGTAATTAATTGTGCTACAATTTTACAACAGCCATGATGTCACTTAAGCAATAGGAATTTTCCAGCTCCATTAAAATCTCATGGTACCACCATCTTATATGCCATTCTTCATTTACTGTTATGTGGTACATGACTGTATTTTATGCTGATCATATCAAACCTAGAGAACTGTGTTCTGGTCTGGGTTCCACACTTTAAGGAATAACATGAAAAGAATAGAGCATGTTCAAAGACAGCACACAAAATGATAAGAGGACTAGAAACCCCGTAATATGAGGAATGACTGAACAAACGAAGAATACCCAATCTGAAGGAGAGACATCCCAGGAGACATGATAAATTATCTTCAAATAGTTGAAGAGCTAGCATGCAGAATGGGAGGCACATTTATTTAGCCCCAGTGGGTATAGTAACTTAGACCAATTTCTATTCCTTCTTGGCTTTGAAATTGATTGAAATTAGTGGTACAAAAAGATTGGTGCTATGTCAATTCTCCCTAATAAGGAAATGAACTAGAGCCATTGCATGGGCTTTTGTGCTCCATTTTTACAAAACTTGACTAAAAAGGTTATGTGTACAGAAGAGAAAACTCAAATGGCCAATAAATCTATGAAAATATGCCCAACTTCACTAGTTATCAGGAAAATCAAGACAATATCCAAGTAAGATGATAACTGGCTGAGGGGTATATGGGAACTCTCTGCACTATCTTTGCAACTTTGCTGTAAATTTAAAATTATTCCAAAGTAAAATGTTAATTAAAAACAACACCACCCTCCAGACTTGCAAAATTTTAAAAGTCTGATAATAGCGAATATTAGCAAGGATACAGGGAAAAAAGAAAGAGAAAAGGGAGTCTAAATTTTTAAAACTACTTTGGACAGCAACTTGGCAATATCTATAAAGTTAAAAATGTTCATAGCTTTTGACCCAGCAGTTCCATTTAGGGTATACTCCTAAATGTATACCCTAGAACTGCACTATCCAATACAGTAGCCACTAGTCACATATGACTATTGAGCACTTGAAATGTGGTGGTCCAAAATGAGATGTGCTTTAAGTATAAAATATGCACCAGACTTGCAAGATTTTGTACCAAAAATAGAATGTAAAATATCTCATTAATAATTTTTATATTGATTACATGCTGAAATGATGATATTGTGGATATACTGAGTTAAATATATCATATCATTAAAATCAATTTAATCTGTCTAATCTTCTTATAATGTGGCTACTAGAAAATATAAAATTATTTTTGTTTGATTGCCCTATATTTCGACTGGACAGCACTAACATAGAGCCTGACTCACCAGTAGCTAAAGAAATAAATCAATTTAGTGGGTCACACTCAGCATTTTTTTTTTCAGTCAGATCTATGGCTGAATATCCAGAATTTTTTTTAATAACAGCATTGTCTAAACTTTTTTAATGAAAAAGAATAGAAGAGAAAATATCATAATGCACTGCATGTAATAAGGGTAAAAATAATTTTGATACAGTATGTATGTACTAGGATGGGAATATAAAAATAATTTCTTGCCATAGATGGTGATTGAAAATGTTTGAAAGTTCCTGCAAAACTCTCAGAAACACAATGTTCATTGTTGTTTGTAATAGTAAATATTTGAAACAATTTGTATGTCGAACAAGTGAGAATGAATAAATAAACTGTGGTATATTTACATTCCATATAATACTACTAGTCTGCAGTAGAAATGAATGAACTAGAATTAAAATATTCATATGGGTAAATATCCAAAACATAATGTTTAGGGGAAAAAAAGACAAGTTGCAGAAAAAAAATCATATAAAATGATACAATCTTTAGAAAGTTTAAAAAGATGAAAAATGATACATTTTAGTTCTTTTTTTTTCTTTTTTTTTTTTTTTTGAGACAGGGTCTCACTCTGTCACCTCGGCTGGAGTACAGTGGACTCATCATAGCTCACAGCAACCTCAAACTCCTGGGCTCGTGTGATCCTCCTGCCTCAGCCTCCTGAGTAGCTAGAACTATAGATGTGTGCCACCACACTCGGCCAATTTTTGTATTTTTTGTGTGACAGGGTCTATGTTGCCGAGGCTGGCCTTGAACTCCGTACCTCAAGCAATCCTCCCACCTCCGCCTCCCAAAGTGCTAAAATTACAGGCATGAGCCACATTGTCCAACTAATTTTTTAGTTCTTTGAAACAATGAAATATCTGAAGCATGTAACAAACTTAAGATTTGATAAAACTCAGTGGTATACACAGGTGTTCATTATATTATTTTGTATACATTTCTGTGCGATTCAAATATTTATGTAAATACAAGGTCTCAAATACCGTACACTTAAAAGTCATAATCCCTATTCCATGTTTATTCATTTATACATTGTTTCTGGTACATAAATGAAAAAAACCTGGAGCTATGGACACTCCAAAGACAAAATTCGGAAACAAAATACATTTGGAGGATCTTAAATAAGGCAGCAAACAGTTTGACTTTTTTTTTTTTTTTTACTGCTATGTACCTTTAAAGTCCATGAAACGAAAATCAACATCATCCATTTTTAAATCTCTGGCTCAGGCCTGTGAAACAAGAAAATATTTTAATACTCTGTCCTTTATCCTCCAGTTTCTCAACAAATTTCTTTCCAGTGAAACGTTTCCTGTTACTTGTTATCGAAAGGGAAAAAAAAGAAGTCTGAGAAAACCTAAAAACCCATAAAAAAATAAAGTAGTTAATGAGGGGAGGGGCCAGGTGGTCCTGCTACCTAACACGGGCCTGGAGATGTTCATCCCGAATCCTTTTTTTACCATAAATCTGCCCAGCAACGTGGGAAGGAAGGCTGAGGGGGGTGGTCTAGCTGGTACTTGCTTTCTCCTAATTGGTTCAAAATCCCCCTCCCTACCAATCCTACATTCAAAGCATCCAATCACTCACCGTCCTTTTTCCCGCTCTCACAGACAGGTAGCACTTTTGGCCTCCCACCCCCAACTGTCACCAACAGTCCCGTTTCAACGGAATTAAGGTTCTTCACATCTAAACTACAATAACGACTATCTCCCGCTTTCAGTGGGCCAGCTCCCCATACTCCTCCATCCTCTTCAAAAAAAGCTGCCTTTGCCCCTCTTCCTTCACCTTGAGAGAAGCTCCAGTTCCATAGTACAAAGTCATTGCCTCGGGGGTCACTCCAAAAAGTGTTGGCCTAATGGCCATACTAGTTACAGACCACCCAACTAACCTGTACGGGAAACTTCCTCTAGCCCTTCCTACCCACTATATCACTCACTTCAGCTGGGACGCCGCCGCAGGGTGCTCGCCACAAACTCCTTCCGCAGAGCCCGGCTCCAAACGCTCCTCCCCCTATCGTGACGTCATCAAAGCCCTCCCCCGGCTCCTCATTGGCCTTTCCCGGGTAAGAGAGCCTAATCCTTGGGGCCCACTCGGGGCCTTATCCTTGGGGTGCAGTTCAGAGAATCACTGAGAGTAAGCAAGTATGATGTAATACTGGAAGCATACTGCAATTAATAGAGGGAAGAGTACACATGGCCAGAATTATACGAAAGAGAAGAGCCGGACTTCACAAAAAAAAGGAAAGAAAAGAAGAGGAAATTAGACAGTACCGACCACTGGTTATTCAAGAGTGGCAAAGGTCAGAAATATCAGAAGTTGAAGAGACTGAAAAACCCCGTAGTTTGAAGACATGTTTCTGCTGTCCTGCCTTTGTCAATTAATTAGGAAACTACTTTAATGACTCCCCTTGCAGGCTTAGGGCAAGCTGTCTTGTCCCACCCATCTCCAAACAAATGGATGTTTGTTTCCAGCTAAATCTATGCATGATGCTTGCAAGGAGGGGATCGGCCTCTATGGAAATCTCCACTCAGAGACAACGATGTTAAGGCATGATGCCTCCAGATTTGGAAATGAACCCCAAATCAAAACATTAGCAAGACTGCCACTTCTTCCTTCATACACCCCTCTTTTAAGCCTTGTGCACTTCAGTCAGGCCAGATGTGAAGCCGGCTAACAGGATAAAGAAGAGACACCACGGCTCTGATTCCTGGGAACATTAACAGAATTCCCTCTTGACCCTGAAAGTCTCAGAATCAGTCTTAGTATCTCATGGAAAAGGTGAGGTTTCCAAAAATAATTTCTTTTCCCTCTTCAAAATTTCCTGCATGTAGATTACATAGTACAATGAAGAAAAGAGAAAAGAGAAAACAGAGAAAGCACTGCTATTCACACCTGTTCTTTTGCACCCTGCAATTTGGCATGTCTTCATTTCATAAACCTAGATTGCCAAATTAGGGAAAGAAGTCTGGTGAAAAGGGCAGTCTAGTATCCTGCAGTTGACTGACTCTCCGTACACCACATACTGTCTGGCCTTGTGCCAGCTCTTAGAATCTTAGCACCTCAGTTTTCTCATCTGTAAAATGGGAATAAAAGTAGTTCTAGGCTTCTGATTGAATGAAATAGTACACATAAATCATCTAGAACAGCGAGTGGCTGGCATATAGTAGGCACTTAACAAATGTTAGTTCCCATTATCATTTCCTGGTTGGCAAACTAAGGACTTCCTGTTTCTGTTATCCCACTCAAGGCCCTGGCTCTACCGTAGCTTCTTTGTTCATGGATGAACAGATGAATGAACAAGACAATAATTAGACTTCAGCTCTCAAGACTACAGCGGCTCTTCTGCATACATCTTAGAGCTCTTAACGATCAATAATGTCTGTAGTAAAATGGATATTATCCAAGATGATATAAGGCATACAGCAATCACATGACTGTATTAATACTGACTGTAAATATGACTCCAAAGTTAGGGCTACTGAGCTGCGTTGAAAGGGCCAGTGAATAAAGGAAAATACAAAGAAAGGGTGAAAATGCTGGTGTTGCATGGGTATCTCCAATTTCTTTTTTTTTCATCCAGATGCACTCCCTAGATGTTACAAGTAAATGAGAGTGAAAAGAAACAGGAAAAAAAGGTAAAAAAGAGAGAAGAGGAGAGGAGATAAAAGAAGCAGGTATGCATTGAGGATAAGCAAGACTGAATAGTAAAATGCCATTAAGTGGCACTCAACATGCTGTGGATTATCTTCCCTTACTCTAACATAAACTGCACATTTTCTGTCTTGCCCTTTAACAAGATGTTACAGAAATGATAAAATCGATAGTACCTAAGGTGGATGAACAGTTTGGACTCTAGTGAGAGCCTATTAAGACTCTTGTTAATAGAGTGGATTAAAAGAGAGTAAGCAACCAAGAACACAAATTAGTTAATAAGGCAGCATTATACCCTGTTAAGAGAAGAAAAACGCTTCCAGAATAAACATGCAATTATAGTCAGGAAAATTATAAATACAAAAACATTAATGGAGTGAGGAAGAAGGGCTTCTTCTGGCAGATGTTAAAACTATTGTAAATAAAATTGTGTGGTAATAGTGCATACAGATAAATGAACAGAACAGAGTCCAGAAACAGGCCCAAATATATATAGGAATTATTGAAATCAGTGAGGAAAAGAATTATTCAAGAAAAAGTATTGAAATGACTGGATAGCCATTTATGACAAAACAAAAAAACTAGATCCTTACCTCACTTCATATACTAAAATAAATTCTAGATTAATTGAAGATTAAATCCAATCATAAAATTTCGATAAGAAAATAGGGATGAATATTTTATAAACTTGATGGCAAAATCTAAGCACGATCTGGAAACCAGAATCAAAAAGGAACAATAATAAGTTTTACTACATGAAAAATAAAATCTGCTGTATGGGCTGGGCGCGGCGGCTCACGCCCGAAATCCTAGCACTCTGGGAGGCTGAGGCAGGAGGATCATCTGAGCTCAGGAATTTGAGACCAGCTGGAGCAAGAGCGAGACCCTGTCTCTACTAAAAAAATAGAAAGAAATTAGCTGGACAACTAAAAATATATAGAAAAAAAAATTAGCCAGGTATGGTGGCGCATGCCTGTAGTCCCAGCTACTCGGGAGGCTGAGGCAGGAGGATCGCTTGAGCCCAGGAGTTTGAGGTTGCTGTGATCTAGGCTGACGCCACGGCACTCTAGCCCGGGCAACAGAGTGAGACTCTGCCTCAAAAAAAAAAAAATCTGTTGTATGGCACTATAAGCAAGGTTGAAAGACAAACCACAGACTAGAAAAAGATTTTTCCAACATGTAACAGATAAAGAGTTAACATGTCTAATATAAAAAGAGCTCTTCAAATCAAAACAAAAAAGACAAATACTCTAGTAAATAAATGCTCAAAGGACATAAGATAATTTACACAGGAAGAAATATAGCCAGTCAACATCTAAAAAGATATTCAACCTCACCAGTAATCATAGAAATGCAAATTAAAGCAAGGCAAATTTTTCATCTATCAGATTGGCAAAGGTTAAAATGATGAACAAAACCTCAAATTTGGCAAGACATACAAAACAAGCACTCGTGCACTGTTGGTAGGAGCATAAATTATTGCAAATTTTCTGAAAGAAAGGCAATTTAGCAAATATGTATCAAAATCTTAAATGTATGTACCCTGTCACCAAGAATTCCCCTTTTAGGAATTTTCCAAAAGATGAAATTGGAAAATCTAGATTAACAGAAACATTCACTGAAGCATTGTAAACTACTTAAATGTTCACCAGTAGTGGACTAGTTAGTTATACAATTTATGGACAGTCTTTAAAAACTTTATTGTGAAAACAATCTATAGTTATAAGACTAGGGAAATGCCTATATCGTACTGTTGAGTTTTAAAAAGAGAAAAGTTTACAGAGAAGGTTTACATTTAGGTAAAATTATATGCATATTTGAAAAAACATGTCTGGAAGAATATTTACCAAAATGTCAACAATGTTTATCTTTGAGTGGTGGGATTTGGGAGAATTTTCACTGTCTTTATATTTTTCAGTATTTTTTTTTTTTTAAGACAGAGTCTCACTCTGTTGCCCTGGCTAGAGTGAGTGCCATGGCATTAGCCTAGCTCACAGCAACCTCAAACTCCTGGGCTCAAGCGATCCTAATGCCTCAGCCTCCCGAGTAGCTGGGACTACAGGCATGTGCCACCATGCCCGGCTAATTTTTTCTATATATTTTTAGTTATCCAGATAATTTCTTTCTATTTTTTTTAGTAGAGACAGGGTCTCGCTCTTGTTCCGGCTGGTCTCGAACTCCTGAGCTGAAACAATCCGCCCGCCTCGGCCTCCCAGAGTGCTAGGATTACAGGCGCGGAGCCACCGCGCCCAGCCAATTTTTCAGTATTTTTGAATATTCTACAATGAACATATATTTTTATCTTTAGGGGGCAAAAGAGATGCTGTTTCCACTTTTAAAAACCCACAGGAACCTGTAATCCTAGCTCTCTGGGAGGCCGAGGCGGGTGGATTGTTTGAGCTCAGGAGTTTGAGACCAGCCTGAGCAAGAGCAAGACCCCGTCTCTACTAAAAAGAGAAAGAAATTAATTGGACAACTAAAAATATATAGAAAAATCTAGCCGGGCATGGTGGCGCATGCCTGTAGTCCCAGCTACTCTGGAGGCTGAGGCAGGAGCATC